CAAGGCTGAAACTATTAAAAGGTGAGTTTGGATGCATCTTGTTCACTTTCCAAATCACTCTTGGGAGAAGCCGGTTAGGTAGAAACCCATGAAAGAAAAAATCCTATCCAGCAATCCATAACTCCAACTACTACTTGAACAAAACTAAAAGGCATTTTCTGTTTTCTAGCAGTACAAACAACTCTAGGCAACAGAACCGTTGATATGATTTTAATAAAAGATACCACTTTGGTTACTTTTTAAAAAGCTGAAAATCCATTCAGAGCTGTGATCCAGAATGGGATGAAAACCCACATTCCAAAAAAAAAATAAGGTAGCTCAGATTAAATTTCCTCCACTGCAGAAAATTATCATATTGTAACTCTTGAGAGAGGGGTTTCTCATTGGGTATGAGGAAGGGAGCATAAAGAAATAGTAATAAGAAAAAACTGTATTGTACAGATTATCTTCATGACCAAGCACTTATTGTTCTGAATCTATAGTAGACCAGTCAGGACCTACTGGACAGGAGGGATAGGGCATTAAATAGGTAAATAGGCTGCTCTTCAGAAGAAAGTCATATCTGCTTTTTGAAAAAGGACATGGATGTAAAAATAAAAGTGGCTCAGTACCAAATGGGAACAAGGATATCGTAATGGAAGTTGCCACATCTGTAAACAAAAATTTAGATTGCTTGATGCTGAAGTTTTCTACAGAAAGAACTAGGCACATGAAATAGCAATTAGAGAATATGGATCTTTAATCAATTTGGCATTAGTGCCCCAAACTGGAGAACTTAAGCCATCACCTATATTAAAAAAAGGAGGGAAATACATACTAGCTTTTCGATTTTCCACGCTCCAATGCAGTGCAGTAGGGTAAAAAAGAAGGGTAAAGGCAACTCATTGCCATAAGCGGCAACAGTGCGTTTCAGGTACAGGTGATCTACCCATGTCAGAAAAGTCATGTTGCCAATTTGGGAAGTAGTGTGTACAACTGCCATATTGGAATCCAAGATGACTGCCATGATTTCATGTTTTGGTCAATATTTCAGCCCCCACTACGGCCAGAAAATTAAATTCCAAATGACAAAGCTAATATTGTATGAATCAAGGAGATGAACTGTAATATTCTCATTGTGATAGCTAAACCGGATTCCACGATGGCTGCAGCAAATACACAGTTTTGTTCATTATTAGATACCCAAAAGGTCTGCAAAATTGTTATATCAACTCTGTTCTGCTTCAGACTACCTCAATGCAAAAACCTCCGATAAAGACTGTTGAAAAGAGACTTGCCTTTATCGCCCTTAAGCAAATGTTACAACAGGGCCAACAGTATCACTGAGTCTAGCGAAGCATGAGAGGTGCGACTTGGAATCTACAAGATGCATCATATGTCTTGAAGTAGGTTTGCAGTCAACAAGTAGCTAATGGAACTGCATGAATAAAACAAAGCACTCGCGAACAATTGCTAAATTCAGCACTTATGACAGTATTCTTGACAGACTACTGCACTGTGCTGATCCTGCGATACAACCTTCAAAAGGTCTCAGTTGGCACCATTCTTGCTACAGTTCTTTTACACACAAAGGACATAAAGAGACTGTTAAGAAAACTGCACAAGATAGAAGATGAAAGGGAAACCCTAGCAACAACATCAAGTGAAGAACCCACTAGGACATCAAGCAGATCATCTACTCCAGTTCCCTGGAGGATGTACATATTCTGCCAGAAACATTCTAGTAAGAGTCCATGTCATGTGTTGTTGTCTGAATCAGGCAATGCAATATACAAGCTGGCAGAGAAGAAAGAAGTGTTGCGTTGTCAAATTGGTGTCAAAGATTTAAGAGCTGCTGAGGCACATTACCATCCTGAATGCAGGCAGGAGGAACAATAGAAGCAAGATCTCTCTCATTCCCATTCACATATGGAGACTGTGCAAAAAGATATTCTTCTTTCTCCTGAAGTGAGAACATAGTATCAAATGATTGCTAAATGAGATGCTGGTTTTGCATGGGAAAATGTGTACAGTCTGTAAGATACACGTGAAAAATATTGTGATTTAGAAGATGAAGGTGGTAAATGTCCTTTGACCACACTGAAGCAAGAACTTCAAACCTACCACAAGAAAGCCATTCAGTTTCAGCACTAAAGAAATGCAAATCTTCCACTACTGTCTTTCGAACTGTGACAACTAATAAAGCCAAACAAGCAGCTGGAACTTTGCATATAAATTATGAGGAAGCCATTTGCCTGCAGTTCACAAACGAGTTTTCAGACACATGATACATGTACTATTCTGCTCTCAAGATCAAAGCAGATTTGAAAGTTATAGCCAGCATGAAGAAACACAGCAACTTGAATAAAAGGAAAACCCCACAGTGAGTTCATTCCCAATAGCCTTTTAGCACTGAATACATTGATTTTGGAAGATGACAATGACAACTTAGGTCATGTGCAAGCTGAAAGTCATGTGCAAGATGAGAATCTAGACAAGAAGTATACTGAATGTGTCACAATTTGGTTTACATGTAATCAGGGGGCAAAAAGCTAATGCCAAAACATGCTGGGTTAGGCTTGTGGATACATTCACACAAATGCATAACATAGAGCCAATTATTAAAGTCTCATTTGGTGAAGTGTACTTGAACCTAATCCACCATATTCCCATCACCTTACCAGTGTGGTTGGCAAGCTGAACATGACTGTCATGTTCCTATTATAAACACGCTTAAACCACCTTTGGATAATAAATTGCAAGTGCAAGACAAAATGCCACGGGACAACACGCTCGTGCAACAGGTTAATGTGCAACGCATTCCCAGTGGTATGCAACAGCATGTTGCAAACTGTATAATAACTACAGAGCTTCAGAAACGGATTCAAGTGATGAAGAAGTCTGAAAAACTGCAATTACCGTTGTATGAATGTTACATATACCATTATATTACCATTGGATCAGACTATTATATTTTCCTAATGCCTTGAGCTGAACATATGTCCATGTTTCATTGCCACCGAGTTATGCATTATTAATATCTGACATATTTCCATTCTGAAATTTTTAAAACAGTAGTTTTATTCAATAACTCGGACAAGCAAGCTAGCTTGAGTTATGTTTTCAGTACTGTAGGTCTGCGATAAAATTTATAGTGATAGGATTTGTGAAGTTTCAGTATTAGAGTGTTGTTTGCTAGGTTTTATAAATTATATTGAGTTGCTACATACATACTAATACATCAGCCATCCTGGAATCCAATATGGCTACCACAAAAGAAATTATATGACTTATCTCCTCAGTTCATATAACATTGGTTTCATCATAGGAATTAATTTTCTAACCCAAGTGGGGGCCGAAACATTAACTAAGATGTGAATTCACAACAGCCATCTTGGATTCCAGTATGGCTGCTACATGTACTACTTGCCAGATTTGCAACACGACTTTTCTAATGTAGGTAGACCACCTCTACTTGAAGCACACTGTCAGTGCTTATGGCAATGAGTTGCCTACCACAATAAAATCTACAGATCTTATTGGTCAGTTTATACCCTACTAGTCTGGTAATACATGCACAATTTTAAGGGAGACTATAACCAAAGTAACACTGAATCAAAATCCTCCTGTTTGTTATATGCATTTAAAAATACCTTTAAATATTAAATGTCCCTGTAATTGTCTGCAAAAGAGATCTTTTTGCAGTTACTTACTGACCATATGTGATGTTCTCATGTCCCCCAGAAATATTTTTAATATTTCAGATGACAAATTAATAGGAAGGCAAATGTATTCTAGCTCTGTACCTAAAATCAGTTCTATATTGACCTGCAGTGACAGTATGGATAAAAAAATCTCAACTATGTTTAGTAAGTAGGCAGTTGCAAAGTGCCTGCCTTTCTTACACTATTCTAAACAAGAAGTTTAGTTTAATTAACATCTTTGTGGGATTTAGATTTAGTAACAAAAAGGGAACAGAAACAGTTAATACATGGGTAACAATGCTAAATTCAAAAAAAGTTTCCCAAGTGGGACTACTATTACCACTCCCTCATGGAAGTTTGAACCCATATTTTGATTCCTACCCCCTTCACACCTACCTTGTAAAGGAAGCCTCATGAAAAAGTTACTCTTTGGACATATACACAGGTTAATAAAAAAATGCTGATTTTTGTTTCCTTAGATAGAAAACAGAATAGCTTACAATGCACAGTACTGTAGGTATTCAAAATATCTTCCTCTGACATGTAGACACTCATTATGTATCACACTGCTACGACAATATGAATGCATTTGAGACCCCCTGTATTTAACCAGTATAACAAATCACTTGCCTAGGATCAATACCTGTTACAAAGGTGGGGTGCTTAAACACTGCAAGTTTGTTGCATATTTATTCTAAACTGAGGCCTACAAAATATATATATAATGATTAAATTCCAATGGCCTTTTCCTTTAAATAGTTTTTGGATCATTTAACATTAAAACATCAACTAGAAATATATGGCAATAAAGTCAAAAACTGAAGAGGAAAAGAAAAGAACTGCCGTCACATAGACTGCTTCTCCATATCGAGAAAAAGAATTTTACTTCCTCCGGGAAACAAGGGCAGAGCCACGCACTAATCTAAGAGCAGCCACTGTATCAACACTTTCCGACTGGCAGCTTTCAGATTATCCCAAGAGATGCACAGGAAAGAAGCAGTAGCGTTAGTGAGGAAATCTGTATAATCCTGGATTTACTAACTTCTTACTCCATTTCTGCTCTCTTTAGTAAAGGTCAGCTTCTTAAGACTCACCACACTTCCTTGCTCCTGCCACTGCCTCCATGGGAAACATGCATCTCACTAACAACTCAGGAAGCAGTTTGCAAACCCAAAAATTGTCTGTTTTTACGAAGTGATACCATGCAGTTGGGGCACTACAACTAACTCTTAAGTAGCATATAACCCTTTCCAAGTGAGAGAGAATGAGTAGGGAAACAAAAGACTATGAAGAAGAAAAAAATAAGGAGGTACATACCAGTTTTTCAATTTCAGATTCGAGATTCTGGATGCAGTCAAGCTTTCTCTTACGACATCTCTGTGCTGCAATTCTATTTTTGCTTCGTCTTCGGATATCATGGATGCAATCCAGCTGTTCAGGGGTCAATTTGTGCATTTTCAGAAATGACTGGAAGTCATTTCGAGAAAGTGAAATGATCCTTTGTGCATTAAATGGCAGTTTTACCTACAGTATAAGATAGAATTTTGAACCAAAAAGGGAAATAGATGGTACCAGGATTTAAAATTATTTTACATGGTTCCTCAAAATAAGTATGAATACACAACAACAGTAAAACATATCTTATTCTTCCATAAAGGAAGCAAGTGCCATCTTACATTCATTTAACTGTACATAATCCAGAAATTTCAAGATAATGTAATTTAAACACTACACGTTTATTGTTTTCAAAAGATTATTTACAAGTGCACAGAACAATTTTAGTTCTTAAATCCTGTGTAGGAATAAGTGTTGATAGTGGATTAGCCCTTGGGCAGGCACCACTAATATGACCTGAAGTTCTTTTCCAACTATTAATACAAATATTATGCATATGTATATTTTACACACATCACACATGCAGGTGTCATGCGTCTAGAGATGTTTACATATCTATTGTTCAGGGAAAATGGTTGAAACCTCTATAATTAGGCTGCCTAGCACTTTGGATACAAAACTGAGCCTGCCCTTATTTGTACATGCCTTATACGTTTGCTTGTTTAACATTGAAAACCACCTTTTTTTTTTATTAAAAGAAAACAGCTATTATTTTAAGGTCACCCTATTTATGGCCACTAAGCCATTTTAAGTACATATGCAGACTTAAAAAAAAAAAAAAAGAAAAAAATATTTCACATTTTCTCCTTTCATAAAAGCAATCCTTTCAATGTTTCTAGAACTGCTGGTGACACCAACATCTAAAGCTATATATGGAATGCTACTCCCAGGGATGATGCTATTTACTTTAGTAAGAGTTTAAAAGAATGGGCCAAAACCAGCCTTGAAGCTGTCTTGTGTGTCCCACATTTCCAAAAGAAGAGTTTTTCCCACTTACTCTGGAATTTAATTTGGTCTCAAATCTTGAAAGGCAACACATTTAAGTATACCAATATCTAAAAATCTAATAGAACTGAGTAACTTTCTGTACAGCTTGTGGGACTGGATTATCTATTTCACCTTTAGCTGGATGCCACGTTACAGCATCAACGACAACAAAGTAGCTGGAGAATTGGGAAAAGGAAACAAAAAAAAAGGGGGGGGGGGGGGGGAACTACAGGAATGTTCAACTGCTCCACAAAAACCCGAGATGCCCTGTTATTTTTGAGGCTGACGTATCTACCTCATCTTGCATGTTTATTTCACTGGTATGCAACATAATTCTGAGCTTTTCTAAGCCAGTTTCTCAAGCAAATCCTGGGACGTCATTCTCCCATTGTACTCTGCTTTGGTGAGGCCGTAGCTGGAGTAGTGTGTCCAGTTTTGGGCTCCACAATTCAAAATGGAAGTGGAGAAGCTTGACAGAGTCCAGAGGAGAGCCACGCGCATGATCAGAGGTCAGGAAAAACAGACCTGACGATGACAGGCTGAGAGCCATGGGGCTCTTTAGCCTCAAAAAGCGCAGGCTCAGGGGTGATCTGATGGCCACCTATAAGTTTAATCAGGGTGACCACCAGTAACGGGGGAACAGTTGTTCACCAGAGTGCCCCAAGGGATGACGAGGTCGAATGGTTATAAACTACTGCAAGACCGTTTCAGGCTGGACATAAGGAAGAATTTCTTTACTGTCTGACCCCCAAGGCCTGGAACAGCCTGCCATTGGAGGTGGTTCAAGCACCTACACTGAACACCTTCAAGAGTAAATTGGATGCTTATCTTGCTGGGATCCTATGACCCCAGCTGACTTCCTGCCCTTTGGGCGGGGGGGGCTGGACTCAATGATCTTCTGAGGTCCCTTCCAGCCTTAATGTCTATAAAATCTATGAAATTAGCCCAGTGGTGCTCAATTTTCCAGGCACGTGCACTTAAGCCAGCCACAGAGCAACTCCAGCCCACCAGCTGAGTCCTCCATGCAAGACTATTATCCTGGCCACAGAGTCCTCCCACGGGTACAGAAATTTGGTGGTAGGGGAGCAGTGGCAGTATTAGCTGGCATGGCAATTAACATGCATGCATGCGCACACACACACACTTCCCAATAAAGTTCAGAAACAAGAAGGAAAAAAACAATTTAATTATGTAGGACGTGGAATGATGTCTATAAGACTTTAAAGTAGAGCTGGAAGAATGATTATCCTCACCTCGCACTCCTGTTCTTTCGCTGAACACGACTCGCTTTCCCCCTCCGTGTCAGTTTCAGACTCTTCTCCCAAACTTATCACACAAGTAAATGGACATTGCTCTGGTTGCTGTCCCTGAATATAATCTCCACTACTTATCTCTGAACTGTTTGAGCATCCTTCAGTATTAAGGGTGCTTATAAATGGGCAGTTGACAGAATTCAAAGTTGTGAAAGTTCTTTGAGGAGAAGGTTCAGGGCTCTCGCTGATCCTGATGCCGAGCCATGGACACTCTGTCTTTTTCCCCGAATATATTGATTCTGAGCATTCTTTTGCTGTTGCAGGTGACAAATGCATTTGACAAGCACTTTCTGTACTGTAAACATTGCTCCAAAATCCTTTTGCTAGGTGTTCAGCAACCTCTCTCTCCACACTGCTACGATCACTAGTTGTTCGAATGCTCATGCTTTCCGTACTGCACAGGTCAGACTTCAAAAGAAGATCACCATTTTTGTTTTCAATTGGTTTGTCATACCTAACTCCAGTACCTGCTACAGCTTTTTCTGCTATGACTGTGCTATTTTGTATGCCACTGAAATTTAAATCATCATATGGCTCATATACAGGTAAAAAAGGCACAGGATGAAGTCCATGAGGTGCAACAGAAGAGTGTTGTGGAAAAGCAGCAACATCCATTTTCTCCACGGGACAGGAGACACTTTGAGACACCAAATTGCTCTTCATTACCTCTTCTTTTGCTGCCTCTTCCTCACCCTCTTCCATTTCTACCTGAGCCTCTTCATATTTTGCAGCCAGCTGCGTAATTCCACACTCCTGAGCTTTTTGTGTGGCATCATTATCAAATGACTCCCTCTCATGAACGGAAGCAGCTGACATTACCTGAACTTCTGTAATACTGGAACTAAGCTCTGTAGTCTGAACTCTGTCACTTCCAAAAGCTTTTTGGAACTTCCTGTATTTTGGACATAGGGAAGGCAAGCCAGAGACATTACCCTTTTCTAAACAAGCAGAATCACATGTTTGACTGGTATCCTGGAAAGTAGGAGATGATACTTTTGCATTTTCTCCATCTTTGTGGAGCTGTGAGTCAAGGGTTTGAACATCTTCCTCTCCTCCATCACCTAGGTCCCCTTCATCCACCTGGTTAATTTTATCATCTGCTTTCTGACAGCGTGATGAACAACACTGCCTTCTGGGACATTCTGGTTGGCCTGATTTACAGTCCAAAAATTTGAATTTGAGAAACTGAAAACAAGATTCTTCAATATTATGTACTCCCAAAAATTCTGCACATTTGCAGACTTCAGACACATTGTCTTTATTTAAAATAAGTTTAGCTGTATATGCAAATTCAAGTAAAGGACCAAATCCTTTAAGTGTCACCTGTATATTTAAAAAAAAAAAAAAAACAAAAACCAACAGTGTTAGCATACATGGTTCACTCCTGTAAGCCATAACACTCTGTTATTTTAAATAAAAGTAAATAAATCTGAATAAAAGGTTTCTGAGCCTTCCCAAAACAGTGACATGGAAGTTACTTATACTCTTTGTGCACACTGGAATCTGCCAAAGTTATACTGGCGTACTCTGCTTGTTCTCTCTAGGCTTAGCACACAGCAGAATGGGAACACAATGAGAACATCCTCTACTTCGTCAAGACAAACAAAAAAAAAGTTAACAGTGTGGGGAAAACATGCATTAAAGAAATTGTGTGTTGTCAAGATCACACTCAAATTGTTCCCAAAACGACATTTTATCATTTTCCATTTTGCAATGCAATCAATTTATTTTCAGTTCTCTCCGTGTTCCTATTGCTAAAAAAAATGTAAAATATTAATGTTGACTGAAGACCAAGACATACATTACATAAGGCAGCTTGAATCTGAAAGACACCTAATAAAATGCAATCCCAGAAACTCAGAGGCAAAGTCATATCTAACTTAGGGCATTTAACTTGTTTCTCATTGTTTATTCAAGTCTCCTACAACATTGGTATTGGAACATTTCAAAATAGGAACTTGACCATGACTGGTTTTTTGTGCCTAGTACTTTGACAAAGGTGGCCTAAGACAGGAAAACTAGGGTGAAGACAAATAAAAATGCACAGCAAGTTAATTGGGATAGGGGCCTAATGTGCATCAGTTACCACACTACAAGTCCCAGCACCTTTTTAACTCACTGTAATCTGCTATTATGTGCGTATTTAAAGCAACCCCATAGCCTTTATTTCAGGGTCATTAAACACGTGGATGTGGCCACAAAGTGAAAGCTACCCTTCTCCACAAAGTTTACACATTGCCAACAAGGCTGCAGATGGAGTACCGCATCCAGTTTTGGGATCCCTTCAAGAGGGATGTGGATAACCTTGAAAGGGTTCAGAAGAGGGTTTACTCATGTGGTGGAGGACCTGCAGGTAAGACACTATGAAGTCAGACAGAGATCTGAATCTCTTCAGCCTCTGCAAGAGAAGGCTGAGAGGTGATCTTGTGGCTGACTACAAACTC